CGGACGTAACCGCGAACGTCTCGGCGAAGTTGGCTCGTTCGCGCGAGCATTTCCGTAGGAAAACGAGCGACTCGCCTCGCCGCCCGGTCTCCCCACTTCAACGACGGCGGGACAAAACTTCAAAGAAGTTCCCTCCTCTAATAGATGTACCGTGTACAGAGCGGAGAGCGGAGGCGCCGATAAACTTGGCGAATTTGAAACTTTATAATCCGGAGCGGTCTACTTGAACCTCTGTGTGCCTCTTCCCTCGTACGATTACTTCCTATCTTGGCGAGAGCTGCTGCGAAGATCGTTAATGCCCGAAATTCTTGATGCCTAACGCGGCTGCACACATTCCTGGGATACTTCTCTATTCAAAGCTGAACAGCAGCCGAACGCAACTACACCCCACCTCGACTGCTTATTATTTCACTGATGCGCGACGCACGCGAGGTTTATTATTGATAGTTGTTCGGAAAGTAATTTCGGTATCTTTTCAAATAGATGATGTTAGTGCCTTTTCAAGCGGTTAACCACATTCTAAAGCAGAAAATCATTTTACATTTTTACGACGCACATTTTAAACTTCATGTGAAAAGAAAAGTTGTTTTGGCGTCGCATCAAAAGTAGAAAACCAACGCGAGCATTTTCGTCACATTTTGCTTTTTTATTACCGTAAAGGCAAAAATGCGGCGCAAGCGAGAAAAAAATGGTGTGCCGTGTACAGAGAGGATGTGTTGATTGAATTAGCCAGTGTCAGAACTGGTTTTCGAAGTTCCGTTCTGCGAATTCTGACTTCAAAGGTACATCACGTTCTGGAAAGCCAGTTGAGGCTGATGAAGACCAGATAAAGGGATTGGACGCGAATCGTCATTTAATGATACGAGAAATTATTGAGAGATTGAATTTATCGAATTCGACCGTGCATGAGCATTTGAAACAACTTGGCTTCGTTTCAAAGCTCGATATTTGAGTCTCACGTGTTCTCAAAATCTTTGATTCGTCGCATCACCATCTGCGATTTGCTGTTGAAATGTAAGGAAAACGATACGTTACTTATAACTGGAGATGAAAAATGGATTGTGTACAACAATATTAAACGCAAAAGATCATGGAGCATACGTGATGAACTAGCTCAACATACATCAGAAGCTGATATCCATCAAAAGAAGATGATGCTCTCTGTTTAGTGGGATTGGAAAGGAATGGTTTTCTTTCTAGCTGCTACCAAACAATCAAACGATTGATTCGAATGTGTCATCAATTGGACAAATTGAATGATTCCATCAAGCAGAAGAGAAAAGGTGTGTGAGATTTGGCGAAGAGAAAAGGTGTGTGAGAAATGTTGTGTTTCATCATGACAACGCCAGACCTCACCCAAGTTTAATGACCCGCCAGAAGCTGTGTTACCGCTTGGATGGGATTCGCCACCGCATCCACCATATTCACCTGGCACCATCCGATTATCATCACTTCTTTCGGTCACTGCAAAATCCTCTGGATGGTAAAAATTTCGATTCAAACGAAGGTGTCAAGAACCACTTGATTCAGTTTTTTGCCAATAAAGACCAGAAGTTTTACGAGCGCGGAATCATGTTATTACCTTAAAGATGGCAAAAAGTGTTGCAACAAAATGGTCGATACTTAATAGAACAAAACTTTTCTTTCTATTAAAAATACCGTCTTTCATTTTCATGCAAAGAACCAAAATTACTTTCCGAACGATCCAATTATGAAGGTACGTTGTACACAAGGCACATCCCTCACCTTCGCGTCGGGTTGCTTCGGGCAGCAAAAACGAAACGAGAGCAATGCCTATCCATCGTACTTCGAAAAATGATAATTTTCAAACTTTTCATCTCTCGTTTCCTCTCCTCCTATCTGTCCACGCCTTCGACCCTTCTCTCACTAATCACCCGCTCTTCATTAGTATCCGCTCTCTCAAGAGTCTATCGTTCGTCTTCTCTCCTGGTGCTTCTCCTTCTCCCATGACAAGTTGATACTCTGTGCTGTCGTCGGCTCGACTTGCTTCTCCGCGCCCGATCGGATCAGATTTTAATTGCGGATGTAAGGCGAATCGAAACAATAGCGCAGCTCGCCGCCACGAAGACCACCGGCGACATTAACTCGGCACTTTTCGAGATAATTGCACGAGACAATGAAGCCGTCGCCTTACGTCGAAAGTGTCAGCGTCGGAGGTGCCCCCTTCTTCCGCATTTGTCCGCTCGATAACGCGACGCAACTTGAAAACAACTCTATTTTCGAAAGCCGAAAAACGAAATATATATAATGAGCGAAGTCATTACCGTTACAATGGAAAAATAATTGAAAGGAATCAGCCCGAGAGCTGATCCCCTCGAACAAAAGGAACCTTCTCCTCCTTACATCGTCTATAACAGCGTTCTCATTAAGGGTAAAAAGGAATAATTCCGATAATGCCGCGGGAAAGAGAGACGAGAGACCGAGAGACAGAGAGACAGAGAGAGAGGGGGGGGAGGGGAAGGGGGAGGGAGGGAGTGTGCACTAACGCTCTATCACGTCGTCCTAATTCTTCGATGAATGCTCAGCTACGACTTCAGTAATGTACCGTGCGTCCGAGGAACAAAGATACCCGACTATCATACAGCCAGCTAATCCAGGTTACTCTCTTCCGTGACCCGTTGGTAGGTAGCTCAGAGCCTCGCATTGTCTACCCTAGAAGCACAGCGCGATCGATAAATCCCAACCAACGACGCCGGGCTATAGACATTCCGCTGAATTCAGCGCTGTCCCATTTGCCCGGTCGCCCCCGCGTTACGAAGAAGAAGAAGAAGAAGACTTTCGCGGTGACGTGGCGCGCGCGCGCGCGCGGACCCTTTCAGAAACGGATGGGTGGGTAGGCAGGCAGACAGGCAGGTTCGTTTGAAGTTCGCTAGGAAAAAAATCCGAGATCTCGCGTCGAGCTGTTCAACCCCCGAACCCGTCCCTCCTCCTCTCTGGCTGTCTCTCCTTCTCCAGCCCTCCTCTCTCTAGACTGTCATACGGTTTCGCGTGGCGATGGGAGACTGCCCGTCGAGATAGACCCTCGGCGATGGCACCCTTGCCCTTGACTGCGGGGCGCGAGAACGCTCGTCTGAGGGGGTTGTCGGCTTTCTCTCTAGCCGGCAGACAGGTTGGGTAGGCGCAAAAAAGAAAATGGGGAGCGAAAGGGGTAGGAAGCACGACACAGGCGAGACGCGTGCCGTCCTGCCTCCGCAGCCTTCGCCGTCTTCCTCTCTTCGACTACGCTTTGCGTTCATCCGCCCGCGCGTCCGTATTTCGTACGTACGTACATCGTAGGCACCGCATAGTTGCATGGCGTCTCTCTACGTGCCGACGTAAAGTGAGTAGAGTCGCGTCGAGTGGAGGGTGCAGAGTGCTCCGACGGTGCGTCGAGTGGTCGCTTCGCTCTGCGCGCGGGGTCGGTCGCTCGGGTTGCCTGGTTAGTTGTTCGCTTGGCCTCCCGCACCACCTCCCCCCCCCCCTCCACGCCCTCCGTTACTTGGCTAGAGGCCCATTCACGTAAGGATCGGCGGGCGCGCGGTCGTCGTTCGTCGTTGTAACGCGGTCGCGTCGCAGCATTTTACAAACAATAGCTGGTGCGAAGAAGCAGCGTCGTCGCAGGGCGAAGGCTGCCTGTCGCCCTCCGTCGTTCGTTGGAAAAGCGCGCCTGGATATCGTCTTCGATAGCCTCGTCGGGACGATTGTCGCAACGGGGCAGCATCGGAAAGCATCATTTGAACGCGAGCTGTCACCCACACCACGAATCACTCCGCGAAAGCCGCCGCGTCGCGATGGCGGCGATTTATCGCGTTAACACGCGCGTTAACTTCGCGGCGCGGCGTCCAGGCGCGAGCTCCGGATCGAAATTTCGACGAACGGATGGGCGGCTAATGGCTACTTTCGCGGATCCCCGCGCCCGCGTGTATCGCGGGCTAATTTCTCTTCAATTTTGTAACATCGTATCGCGCGCGCGCGCGAGAGTTACGAGAGTTCACACGAGGCGATCGACCCCGAGTGCACTCTCCGTGTAATAGACGTAGACTCCAAGCGACGTAATCAAACGGTGCATTAAATGCAACGTTACGACCAAAGATCGATGTGAGACGTGTGTGTATATATAAAGAGAAAGAGATAGACACAGAGGGGGGGAGAGAGAGAGAGAGAGAGAGAGAGAAGACGCATGACGATCATGAGCGTAGCGGCGCACGACGTCAATGTAAATAAGTAATTGACGCAAAAGGCGGCAAGTGTTGCCGTTAGGCGAACACGCGCAATCGGAATCTACAGGTCTACAGCGGCGAAGAAATTGCGATAACGGTGAAAACGCCGATATTTCTGTCCGCATCAGCGGACGGTCCTCCGCACGGGAGCCGGGTCCCGACGCGGCACGAAAGATACGGGGCGAGGAGAGTCCCGAATCTACAGGCAACCGTACGGGGGTAATTATCTTGAGAGCGTCTACCGCGGGGGACGGGGGTAGTATTTGGCGACGAGCCGCAACGTTGCAAGAATCACACGTTGCTTTCCTCGCGGACTACTCGCGCCGCCGCGCTGAAATCAGCTCGCCCGGCTGCGTGAAGTAATAATTGCAGGTCCCTGTCGAAGTATCGCGCGAGAGCATCTTCCGCATCTTCCCGACGACGAGGGCAACGTCGAAAATGCAAAGCCGCTGGAGTGACGGGTCGCCGAGTCGCCGAGAGATTCGCGGCGGATGAGACTAATCGGGGCGGGAGGGCGTGACAACAGCTCTCGATTTCTCGCGACGCATTCCGTCGGATTCTTACGGCATTTCCGGCCGCTGTAAACGCCAAAGGGCGGAGAGAGCGGAGTCGCGACACGCGCGCGCGGCAGACTTGGAGGGATTCTCCGCATTTCCGGTTGAACCGGCTGTTGACAGCCGGCATCCCGGAGCCGTTATTTCGCGTGCGCTCGCGGATAATTACACGCTCCCGCTGTACATCGCGCCAATTGCATGCGGCTCATGGCGATATGAGACATACCTTTCAGATGTTCCTGGGTGTCCGCCGCGCCGGCTCGCATAATGTCGCTCAGGTAGTGTTCCAAGGTCCTCATGTTGTCCAACGGTGAGTTGCCATTAGCCGTCATACGATCCTGCAAAATATCAACGGGCCCGTTATTTTCATAATGGCTACGTGCACTTTGATTATCGTCGCGTCGTGTCTCGCACGGGGTAGCTATCCAAGTGTCGATATTTAGCGAGCGAGATAATTTGACTTAGCGGGCGAGATAACTCGACTTTGATCCTTAGGGGCTGATCACGGGGTGAAATTTCAGCCCATGCGAATTTTCGGTCTTATTGAGAAACTATTATACTAACCACAGGAGGGAGATTTGAGACCAATTTTATTTTATAAGTATTTACTCGCACTGTCAGTAGTGATAGAACATTATGATGAAACAGGCTTTAAACCCTTAAAAGCTACCATGGCTGAAACTTCAGCCCATGCGAATTTCCGAATTTATTAGAAAATTGAACCACACAGGCAATATTAATTTTATAGATATTTACTCGCACCGTCAGTAGTGATAAAACAGACTTTAAACTTTAAAGGCTACCATGGCTGAAATTTCAGCCCATGCGAATTTTCGGTCTTATTAAGAAACCATTATTAACCACATGGGCGATAATAATTTTATTTTATAAGTATTTACTCGCACTGTCAGCAGTGACAACATTATGATGAAACAGACTTTAACCCTTAAAAGCTACCATGGCTGAGATTTCAGCCCGTGCGAATTCCCGAATTTATTAAAAAATTAAACCACACAGGCAATATTAATTTTATAGATATTTACTCGCACTGTCGGTAGTGACAACATTATGATGATAAAACAAACTTCAACTCTTAAAGGCTACCACGGGTGAAATTTCAGCCCATGCGAATTTTCGGTCTTATTAAGAAACCACACGGGCGATACCAATTTTATTTTATAAGTATTTACTCGCACTATCAATAGCGACACAACATTATGATGAAACAGACTTTAAACCTTAAAGGCTATCGTGGCTAAAATTTCAGCCCATGCAAATTTTTGATTTTATTAAAAACCGGAACTGCGCGGGCAATACTAATTTTATTTTATAGGTATTTACTTGCATTGTCAATAGTGACAACATTATGATAAAACAGACTTTAATCCTTAAAGGCTACCATGGCTGAAATTTCAGTGAATTTTCGAATTTATTAAAAAATTGAACCACGCAGGCAATACTGATCTTATATCGATATTATTATGGTAAAAGAAAACAAATCTTGCATACTTTGCTATAAACATGACAAGAAAAGTTAGCTTGGGCTGATACTTGACGGTAGCTTTTAAGGGTTAAGTTTTATTTCCTCTGGCAGTGACGAAGATGTGCAAATCAGATAACGTATCAGAAAACGCGTGAGATGCTAAACCGAGCGACCTAGATCGCAATTTTGGCACACTTCGTAAATGTGTATAATGAGTCCGAAATTTTTTAAAATACACTACCGTTGAGAGCGACCGTTTGCCCTCCATTAATCTGACTCGTGATTTCGCACACGACGATTCGCAGCTTCTGGTGCGACGATCGTCCCGACGATAAATGTAGCGAAAACCGCGATAGCGTTCGCGCCGCATAATGCACAGCCGCGCGGTAATATACAAAATATTCACGCGCGCGTAAAACACCATAAATTCTGAATTCTCCAATTTCCGCGACGCGCGCGCGCGCGCGCGCGGGGTAAGATATTTATTTCTGGTTAGGGAAAAGCCTTTCTTTCTCGAGCGGCGCGAGCGAGCCAGCAAACGAGCGAGCGTTCTGGGCGGAATGAGCCAGCGGTTTCGAGAAGGAGGACAAGTGAAGCGGAGAAGTTGAAAAACGATAAGGGAAGAAACGTTCCCGGCTCGGCAGAAAGGAGGAGAATCTGCCAGAAGGAAGCATGCCACCACTCTGGGGAGGAACGGCGGGAAAGAAAAGTACAGGGTGGAGGGTGAAAGAGGGAGAGGGAGAGGGAGAGGGAGAGAGAGAGAGAGGAGAGGAGAAAGGCTTGTAATAGACCACTTGTAACGGAATCGGAGCGCAGTTAAAGCGGGGATGTATTCAAAAGTCCATCCCCGACGCCGCCACACCCTTAATGCACATCCGCTTCCCTTGCTTTATTTCGGCTATCACGCTCACCCGAAATGCCGTGTTCCCGACGAAAGTTTGATAAAGCCCGACGGCCCTCTTTTATTTCGGACGTCACGCCACGGAATTGCCGACTTCCTCGCGCGGAAGGTTCGATAAAGAGAAGCCGGCCGACTCGAGAGATTAATAATCTCGGCGCGATCAGATTGCGGAGCGCCGTCCACCGCGTCCTTGATCGATATACCCGTGTGTTATACGGGCAGATTTATCGACGTCGCCGCACATTTCGGCCACTCGAAATACCGCGCGCGACTCCGATAAATTATATTATTCCCGCAGATAGGCCGCCGAGTGACCGGAGATATCGCGCGCCGCGGTGTACTCGACGATATACGGCTCGAGAGAGATCGCGCTTTTCACCTCGCGCGGCTAACTCGAAGCGCGTACACTCACGAGGAGTAACTTTTCCGCGTGGTTTGACAAGTGTTTATTGAGAGTTCATCCGCGGGGAGGAGGAACGCGACTTCCTCTCGCGAGCATTCATTCGCGTCGCCCACGCTGCCCGCGCGGAGGAGGAGGGACGCGCGGGTGGTAGACGAGGAGTTATGGGCGTCGAAGAAATGAAGGGGAGACGCGCGAGAACGGAGGTGAGCCGGGAATCTTCGGAGGTGACCAATTGAGAAGAACGGCCGATGTAACGAAAAATAACGACGCGAACGCCGCGGCGTTTCCCCATGGCCGATCTCCGAATGGACGGATTTTCTCCGGCCTTGAGATGTTCTCTCTCTCTCTCTGTCTCTCTCTCTCTCTCTCTCTCTCTCTCTCTCCCTAAAAGCGTCGCAATTAACGCGTCATCAGCTCGACCGATACGACGTCTCACGCTGCCGCGTCTCGGTCGCGTCGCGACATCCAGCGAGGCGAGTAAGGTCGCGCGAACGATAACGAACAATTGATCAATCTCGCGTAGCACGTGATAATCCTCGCGCATTCCGCGCATGCAGGAGCAATATTGAAATTTACGCCGGCCGAGCGAGTGCGGCTTTCGTCGTCCTTCTCCTGGAAGAAAACGGCCGTGACACTTATTTGGTCAGCGCGGTGGGGAGCGGGGCACGTAAGGGGGAGACGGATAGCCGAGTATATCGTACAAATGGAACAGAGAGAGAGAGAGAGAGAGAGAGAGAGAGAGAGGCGAAAGGGGTGGGCCCCTGATGTCGAATAATCGTGCCCATCTTTCCACGCTGGCACAACCGGTGGAGGTGCAAAAGGTGGCCCCACCTTCTCCGCGAACGTGTCCCCTTCGCACCGCCCGCAACCCCCTCGGTCGCGCATTTCTTCGTTCCTCGTACACGAGCGCGCGGGCCCTGCTCTGGGTCTCCCACCCGGGTTCCAACCCACTTCCCTCTCCCGGGTCGCACGCACACGGGCGCACGCGCCGGCACACGTACACGTGCCACACACCCACGCGCCCACAAGTGCACGGCAGACACGCACGCACGCAGCGCGCGCGCGCGCGCGCGCGCACACACACACACACACACACACACACACACACACACACACACACACACACACACACACACATATACATACACCCGCGCCAGGGGCGCGTACGTACAGAGAGAGAAACGGAGAGGAGGGCGACGTTTCTCGACCGCGCTCCGTCTCTGTCTAGCTTGCGGCGTGACGGTGGAAAATCAATATAGGGAAACCAGGAAGCAGCGCGCGGCAGGGCGTCGACAGCAACCTCTCCGTGCAGGCTCCATCCCGGTACCACCCCTACCCACCGCCGCCGTCTGGTTCTCTCGTTGTGTGTACCCTGCTCCCCTCTCTGCGCCACCCCGTTTTAACCCTCTCTCGCGGTTCCTCTTTCTCTCTCTTTCCCTCTCTTTCTCGCTCTCTCGCATTCTCTCTCTCTCTCTCTCTCTCTCTCTCTCTCTCTCTCTCTCTCTCTCTCTCCAGTTCCATTCGCCGTGCCCTATTCGTTTTTACTTGACGTCGATGCTGTAGTGCCAGCTTTCTCGGCAGCGCCACCACCGTTATTCTCGTTCGCTCGCCGATCATTAGGGCTTTCTTGCGAAGTCGCGCGATTTTCCATTGGCCGTCGCCGATACCGGCTTTGCATCGCCGGATTGGCGGTGTCTTGACCGTGACTACTACACTAGCATCTGCTACCACTACCGCTATTACTACTACCACCACAGCAGCCGCCTCTTCGGGGTAGGAGGCCGCTGCGCAAATTTTCCCCCCACCGTCGAGGAGTAGGTATGCGGGTCGGAGCCGCGAGAGAGAGAGAGAGAGAGAGAGAGAGAGGGGGGGAGGGGAGAGCTTTGGAAGATTGTCGGGAAATTGGGTGATCCGAAGGGAGACGCGAAGAAAACAGCGCGGCGTGACATTGTGTAACATACACCCACACCTCGCTCCCACACACATGCGCGTCGGATGTGCTAACACGGAATACCGCAGCGTCCCTACGACGAAAGCGATATATCAGGGAGATGTATCTTCGAGCGAGTAACTCGGACGTTACGTCGGCGATTCGTTATCCGTCGTTTGGGGCGAACAGCCCCCGTCGCGTCGTGCCCGGCGAAACTCTCGAGGCATATTCGGCTCACATCGAGAGCATCGGGACGCAGGAGTCGAGAGAGAGAGAGAGAGAGAGAGAGAGAGAGAGAGAGAGAGAGAGAGAGAGAGAGTGCGACGGAATCCATAACAATACCCCGGCCGATCGAAGACGCGCAGCAGCACGCACACGCCGCCGCGACTCACACCCCCCCTAGTATCAGTTACGAGGATTCCATTCGACCCACCGACCCCACACGCTTCCATGCGCTGCGAGGCGCGCGCGGCCGCGCGGCTGCGAGATTGACCCAGTTCCGAAGTTCGCGGCTCGTAAAAAGCAACGGTCTTCCACCCTCCCCCGCATGCGACCGTGCACGCGCGCACATGTGTGCGTACATGTGTGTGCGCGCGCGCGCGCGCGCGTGCAAATATGTGC